TTAAGTCTACATATACATTTTCATTCTAAATGTTTAACTGAAAAAGCACATTACACTAAGCAACTTAAAATTTTCCTGATAAGTAATCCATCCTTTACAACATTCACATATAGGTAGATACACTTTTTTCCCTGTCTTTGATATTTTTCTCCCTCTTCTTTCTCGTTATTGGTACCACTTCATCATTTTTATATAATATTGACTGGCCTCGAGGGGTATATCAGAAATATTGACCAAGCTCAGATCATATTACCCCGAGTCGAAAGACGAGGGCAATATGGTCTTAGCGCGGTCAATATTTCTGATATCCCCCGAAAGTAAAGCCAGTCAATATTTTTATTGTTATCCAAATCAGACATCTAGAGCAAATACAGAAATCCACCTTGACAATCTCAAAGAACTGAACAAACTTTGTCAAACCAGCACTGTGCATCCAGTGCTTGACGAAATCTTCGGTACACTGCAAACAGTGTGCAGTTGGTGTGATTATTACGTCACAATAGAGTGCGCGTAAAGTGCGCAGGTTCTCGTACGCATAATAGATGCGCAATGAAAATGACAAAATACGGCGTGGTCAATACAAGATGCCCGGATGCGAGACCGTGGAAAATACCAAAGTATATTTTCACTCGTCTCTACACACAAAGTCTATACGAGCAGGGAGACCAAGGAAAATACAAAGAATATACCCCTCCGTTCCCACTGCTTGTGAAAACTAGGGCAATACGGTATTGTAAATGACCAGCTCAGATGTCTGATACGGGTAATAATTATATAATATTGACTGGCCTTGAGGGGTATATCAGATATATTGACCAAGCTCAGATCATATTGCCCCGAGTCGAAAGACGAGGGCAATATGGTCTTAGCGCGGTCAATATTTATGATATCCCCCGAAAGTAAAGCCAGTCAATATTTTTATTGTTATCCAAATCAGACATCTAGAGCAAATACAGAAATCCACCATGACAATCTCAAGAACTGAACAAACTTTGTCAAACCGGCACTGTGCATCCAGTGCTTGACAAAATTTTCGATACACTGCAAACAGTGTGCATTTGGTGTGATTATTACGTCACAATAGAGTGCGCGCAAAGTGCGCAGGTTCTCGTACGCATAATAGATGCGCAATGAAAATGACAAAATACGGCGCGCGCGGAGACCGTGGAAAATACCAAGGTATATTTTCACTCGTCTCTACACGCAAAGTCAATACGCGCAGGGAGACCAAGGAAAATACAAAGAATATACCCCTCCGTTCCCAATGCTAGTGAAAACTAGGGCAATACGGTTTTGTAAATGACCAGCTCAGATGTCTGATACGGGTAATAATACCTTATATTAGATAGCTTAGACAGATACCGAGATGTGATTGGTCCAGAGCTCGTCACGTGATATCAATTGCGAGGATCCAAATTGTTATATTTTCCTGGCCGGTCACTTTTCAGTGTTATATTTTACCGGCTGGTGAAATGAATATATTTTTAATCAATGCATGTCGCCCTCTTGAGGACTGTATGTCACCAACTACATACATTACACCATTATCGAGGGCCATTTTATTTTTTCAATATTTTTTTTTCATGAATTTTTTTTTTTTCCCAAGAAATTTTTTTTTCCACATTTTTTTTTTCCCCAAAAAATGCTTTTTTGGGTAAATTTTTTTTTTTAATAATTTTTTTTTGTTTCCCGAAAAATGCTATTTTTTTTGCTAATGCTAATTTTTTTTTTTTTTTTTTTTTTTTAACCCCAATTTTTTTTTTTTTTTTTAAAGGTGATCTCGACAAATTATTTTTCCGTAATTTTGATTGTCTCCGAAAAAAAAAAAAAAAATATTCGGGCTAAAAAAAATATGGACCCCCCCCCCCCCCACAAAAAAAAACCCCCAAGGCTATCTAATATAACAGTTATTGACTGGCAGGGGGTATATAACATTCTTTGGACCTGAAGGGAGTTATATTTTCCCTCGTGACCATATTTTCCCTCAGCGCTGCGCGCTTCGGGAAAATATAACCACTTGGGAAATATAACTCCCTTCAGCGGTCCAAATAATGTTTTATAAAATGGCTCTAGTATTTTAAGCATCGTGATTGGTCAATACGCGTCACATGACATTGAAAAAAATTTGATGCAAGCACGATTTTGCAGAAATGAGTGCAGAAAAAGCGCAGTAAAAAGTTATATTGCACGGTGCGTACGCGTGACCATGGAGATCCAGTGCGCGCGCGTACGTGTAGTACGCGCTCCCTCGAGTTGCATTGCAATTATTGTAGGCTACGCGTAGCTAATATTGTACGCTCGATCCACCATGATCCCCAGCGCAACGTACGCGTAGCTTAGCTCTAACAGTTAGCTAGCTAGCTAACTTTAGAGCGGGGTATTATTAAAAAGCAAATTTTTATTTTACTTTTGCCTTGGATTTAGGCCTGTTTTGACTTTCGGATTTTATAATGAAGCCAGGAATTTCAGCTGTCTGATGTAGACTCGTCTCTAGACTGTATGGATTTTATTTTTAATCAAGGCAACGAATCCCATTGACTTTTTGGTAAGCCTGCAAATGCAAGGTCTAGACTTAGTCTAGAACCAACATAACTCTAGATCTAGATCGAACTCTCGTAGACTCTAACTTAAGATTTAAAGTTTCGTTTGTTGCTATTTGTGTCGCTATTTTATAAAACAAATAACGCACTTGACCCTGTTGTGCGAATAAACGTAAATGCAGTGTACGCTCGGTTTCTTCAGATGGTTCGCACTGTCAACTCGCCGCAAGCGGCTCGTTGCACAGAGCGGCACCAATCTAAAGAAACCTCGCGCGTACTGCATTCACCGCTATTGCACTCTGGACCGTGCGTTATTTGTATATTATTACACCCCCTGCCAGTCAATAACTGTATAATATTTACTTTTAAGTTTTAATTGTATAATATTTTTGTATTATTGGGGGTAGATCTCGACAAATCATTTTTGATTTTTTGACTACCCCTTCCACATTTGTCCTAAAGCGACAGGGCTGATTTCTCAATTCTTTCTTTATGAAATGAAGGGTTAGGGTTAGGATTAGGGTTAGGGTTAGTCGTTTTATATATGATGTACATGTTCTATTATTGTATTGTATGTATGTATTTAATTTCATGTATCTATTCATGTTTTGCATTTGTAGAGAAATAAATTGAATTGAATTGAAATTGAATTGAATTTAATTGAATTGAAGATTGAACTTTTGGTTGCATTTTTAAATATTCATTATACCGATCGACGCTTGTACAAAATACCTGATTAAATTTTTAGGTTCAACACTCATTAAGGTGTGTAACAGAACGTAATGATACCCATGAAACGTAGTAAACTTCGTGTCAAATCATTCTAGCTTTAGAAGCTTTAACAAAAATACATGTATACTAATCAGAAGGGATACAAGTAAATAAACATAATGTACGGTTATATGCAAGTTATACCTTTAAAGCGTTTGACTAGGGTGATCCGTCAACACAAACCACGCTTTCTTTGCTGAGATTGAACATATTTATATCAAAATCGATATCTTGCTCTTTTTTGTAACTAGTTTAGGAATTGAAAGAATACACAAAAAGAAAGACATTTATCTACACTGAAATGTCTTACTCATATTTTTTTCAATTTTTACTTTTTCATACGATAACAATCGATATTAATTTTAGAAAAGCTTCCACAAAATTGATTCTTTAGCGTTGGAGGTTAACATTTTGGGGGATTTATTTTGTGTTAAAGGGAAATCAAACTTAAGACAACTTCTCTAAAACGAAGAAGAAAAACCAGAGAAGCAGACTTGTGAAAGTTTGAATGAAATTGGAGAAACAATAAAAAAGCCACACATTTTGAAAGTTGTAATCAGTTTGCGAGTCGGAGTGTCAAATTGGCCGAATCGGAAGTAGTGGCATACAACCTTCCCTATTGTTCCAACACACATAATTATTGAAAATCTGAAATGTCAATTTTTCGAAATATATTATTTAGGAGGGTCTTGTCTTTTTAAATTATTTATGAAAATACATATCCGTAATATATATTTTGTTTAAAGCCCCAAAATAAAAGGAGAAAAAAAATGTTTCTCTTACTTTCTGCATTCATACAGATAAACCTATACTCCATGGATAGGATTGCCCTCAAAAGGGACTTTATAGTGCGATGGAAGTAAAGTAGCAGAATTATTAGTATTTTAGTTTTCTCTCCTTACTATAACATACTAAAATCTATGTAGAATTAGTATTAGTATTAGTAGTATAATTACATGATTCGTTAGGTATTAAGCAAAATTCAGAGTCATCAAGCAGATTCCACGCCGAAGATTTGTCATATAATTATGTGCTTCTGTTTCATTTCTTTGTTCGAAATGGATCATTATCAAAAATCAGAACAACATAATGAAATTAAAAATTAAATTGTTAAAATAACTTTTTTAAATAGTTCTACTCAACTCATAAGAACAAAAACCTAATCCAATTTGTTTGTATGTGGTCCAAAAGGATTAAGGGGGACGTAGTGTGTTGATTTATGCCTTTGCACAGTATAATCTTATTGCCTAATATTGCCTTCGTCATAACGCACATGATCAAACCTGTTTTTATTTGGATGGAGATGAATATTTCGTGTTCTTGTATCGTAGGATATTGGTTACTGTATGTAATAACGGGTATTGGTTCTCCATTGTTATGACCACCCGTCCCAAATAGCATTTATTCTTTACGTCGCAACCTTTCTTCACGACCCAGTCACTACGTAAATTCCATCAATATTTATATCGATCTTTATCCGACTCCATGGCACAGGGTAACACACTTTCACCCCTACACAACTCTTTCGGTCGTCATCTTGGTCTTCGATCTCCTGCTTTGGACCAATCAGAGGGCTAGATTTACCCTCTTTCATTGTCCCAGGGTAGCAACTGGGTGCGGTTTGATGGTTACTGGGGGTACACAGAGTGGATCCATATAAGCATGTTAGGTTGGTAGAGGGGTATCAGTCTTCAAGAAGTAGTCATTACTGAGACATCTCTATCTTTGGATATTGTAAAATACTTGGATCAAAAAGTTGATAGAAGAAGAAAAAACCCGTTACCTGGATCTTCATTATACAAGGTGTTGTGCCATCCTTAAGGATACTACAGCTATTTCTAGATTTTATTAAGGTAAGCGTGGATTCTTTTAAATATTTGTTTAGTTTATTTTTATTTAACATCGTCTTCCGTCTTTTTTAAGTCTTTTTTCTGTAACTTTTCTTAAACTTTGTGGTTTCATTTCGAAATAATATCATTTTTTCCCCTGAGTAATTGGTATCAATGATCCAATTCTCATCTTATTTGAAAAAGATAGATGATGATTTATTGATGCAAACTGATCATGTTTTAAAGATGTTCAGTTACTCAGTGTATTCATATCTGAGATAGATATCTCTTATAACCTTAATGGGGAAAGGTTTTTTTTTAATGTGAGAATGAAGCATAAATATCCTTTAACTTTCCGTTTTGATCCACTTTTTGAACAATCTGATATTAATATATTGTGTAATTCGATGGGGGGGGGGGGGGGGTGGGCGATCTGTACGAGAGGGCTGGCGTGGTCTTATCGTCACGATGGCAACAACGTAAATAGGGCGCGTAAGATGGAGGGGTGATCGATAGTTTCTTTTATTTTGACCGCCATGTGCATTGTCGGCCCCACCCCCTGTCGACTGGTTGTTTGGATGTTGGCCTGACTACAACTTTATTTTTTGTCTTGGCACGGCAACTTTCTCTCTTTGCTTCCTTTATCACATTTCTTGTTGTGAATTTGGTGTAATTTAAGAATAAGTATTTTTTTAAAACTATTTTCCAACTGCTACGTATCTTTTTTTTTTATTTCAATAAATTGCTATATATTTAATTGTGTTTAGAGTAAGAGGCTTTTGGATTAACTTTCATCCCCAATTTCACAATCTTTTCTCCAGATTCAACTCTACATCCTACAAAGCAATGGCTTTCACACGCTTCATCATCCTGGTAGCTCTTATTGCTGCATCTTACGCACAGTTCCTCGACCTCGACAGTTTCACCATCGATAGTCCCTCTGTCATCTACGATGGCGAAGTATTCGATGTCGTGTTCGACGTCACCTTCACGCCTACTGGCGGAGCTGCTTCAATCATCACCAATTCCCATGGCTCTACCCGCTTCATGCCCGTCTTCACTCTGTCCGAGGATGGTGAGACGCTAGATCTGGATGCTTACTCTACAGTCGAACTGACATCAGCTCAACAGACTACTGCTCTTACTGATGATGACTCTGTGACGTGGAGCAACCTCGAGGCCTCTCTCAATCTGACCGATATTGAATGTGGTGATGGTTCCGTGTATCAGTATGCCTGTGTGTCTATCATGGCATACACTGGAGTCACCTGGTCCGGTGTCGATACGTCCAACAGCTCTATGTGTTCTTCCTTCGTCTGCAAAGGTAAATTTATTCGCTACTCATTCTTGGTAAAGTAGTCCAAAAATGTAATTCAGTTCTGAAGTAGAGATTGAAAGCTGTATATTTGAACTTATCCAAATGATATTAGAATGTCGAGAAATTGAATTTTCTGAAGCTCCTCTCTGAAACAAAACGTTGTATAGTTGATTGTATAGACTTAAGCGATTTAAAAATCAATATAGCACAATCGATTTAAGATATTATTACTATGAAGGTAGTAAGTTTATAATTTCTTGCCTTTTTCATCACTCATTTATCAATCTTTTTTCTTTCATTTACTTAACAGCTGTTGCCGATGTGGCTATCAGTGCCCTGACCATCACCAATCCTGATGATAGCGTAATCGGTATCGGTGGAGGTCAAGCTGTCGATTTCGACATCACCATCTCAAACCCTTCCGGAGGCGACAACGTCGTCGGTAGCGACAACTGGATCGTCAAGTTCTACCTTTCCGACGAAGAGACCGGTGGCACTGAAGTCGCTTCTGAGACCATCTCTCTATCATCTTCTCAGGAAACCGCCGACATCAACGCCGGATCCACTTCTACTTTCTCCGATCTCGCCGTCACTCTCACCCTCGACGATGTCACCTGTGATGACTTCGCATACGCCTGTTCCAGCGTTGAGCCCGCGTCCGCAGCTTACTGGACCCGCCCTGCCTCTCCTAGTGATAACTACGTCTGTGTGTCAGTCACATGTGGAGCAGCAGCTATCAAGACAAGTCTAATGGTTATGCTTCTTACTGTTATCGTCAGTCTTTTATTCAACCATTAATCCCTTTAGCATCTTAATAGAACTCAATTTACCCAAATAACTCTTGGACATATTAAAAGAAAAGCCGGCAATAGCCTTGAACGTTGAATGTTGTCGAAAGTGGAGCAGCTCGAATAATAGTATACATTGGCGATAATAGTGTCGTCTGCTAAGTAGCAATTCTTCTACATAGTTATGAATTGTATTTGGTGATGATAACATTGTCTGCCAAATGCAAAACTTTAGTTGTCAACCTGGAAAAGATAGTACAAGTATTCATAAATCAGATGTAGGCTCAGTTGTATATATACATGTACTCCTAGTTGCAATTCTCTTGTAAAAATATAAATAAATTTACATTAAAGTAAAATAGAATACTTACTTTATTAACGGTCTAAAACATAAAATCATTAATTGGACATTTGATTATTGTACTAACAGAGTGGACAATGAAATCATGTTATCACTTGATATGTGTCTTTGAAAGAGACATCGCTATATATTATCAAATTCTAAAGTCTGTTTGGTATATGATCTTTGGAAGTATATGTTAATTTCTATGATGTCATCGAGCAGGATATTACTCCGCGATGCGAGATATTCGGCGCGCCTTCTGTGTATGAACATCTTTCACAGTGTAATAGAATTATCGATATTCGCGAGTAATATTCTGCTGGAAATGCAATCATAATTCTAGTAGAGGTTGTCAAACCTACTTCCTAAATGATATCAAGCGAAGACTACAATTGTTTTTTTCAGAAATGAAATTATCTATACGTATTGCTACTCGCCTAGACTTGTAGCATTTTGTCATCCAAACACCTTGATCAATGATATATAACGATGTAAATTGTAAATTTCTTTTCGTACTTCGTAGCGCTACATGTATACCTTTTCTTGATCTATTATTGTACTTACCTCAAATGTGTTAACATTTATGTAAATGAAAGTTGTGGTGCGCACCCTAATCTATTTTGCTATGCCATGTCGCAATATTTATTTATGCATGAAATGTATGCTTAGTAAATAAAGTGGCCACTTTGTTTCTTTGAAAAGTATATTTTGATTATACCTCTTTAAGTTCTTGATTTATTATCAGTCTCAATGTGTATTTCGGTGAGTGACTGGAAGAACATTTTGTCAACGAATTTTGAGAGAGTGGTTGTATGTGCTGTTTGAACTTGTAGAATTATTGGGCTTCATTTCTGATTGGTGGTAGTGGTGGTTGTATGAATATGGGGATGGTTGTAGTGATGGTGATGACAGAAGTAACATGAGTAATTATGTTTAACTTTGAAGATATTTGTGATACTGAAATCAGTATAGGTGATAATGATGATGGTCTTCAGGCACGATACACTGAAGGCAGTATCAAAACATATAAAACAAGAAAATTCATTATTTTCAAGATTTTGATTTGGTCGCGCTCAGTAAGAGCGAACTTAAAGCCCCTCTAAAATTGGGAGCCCCAAAAATTTGATGACAAAATTTCACTTAAATGTTATCCCAATGTGGAAGAGTATTTCACACAAGACAAATTTCTCCAAGGATTTTCAAAACAAATGTGTTTGAAGTCGAATATTGATGAAATGCAAAATTAAGTTTTTCTGCGTACAACAGAAAATCCAAATTAGGTATTCTTTTATCAATATTTGTCTTCAACCACATTTTGGGGGGAAATATTTGCAGAAGTGTGTTTTAAATTACACCCTCTATTTCATTATGATATAATTTAAGTAAAATTTTGCCATCAAAGTTTTGGCGAATTTGGAGCTCCCAAAACTTTAGAGGGGCTTTAAAAGTTCTCCCATCCCCGGGCTCCCATCGCGTTGCTAACAAAGTAATTGGCGTTGTTTTGTTGATTGTTTTCTTGTCTCTGGCTTCCATGCATGTCTTGATTTAAACATCGAAAGTTTTTTGTTGGCATGGAAACCAACAATGCATCCATCCTTGGGCTATCAGACAAGCGAGTGTTTGTATCGATCGGAGTTGCTGTCGTCTTGGTCCTTATATTGATCTTTAAGCTGGGCGGGGAATGCACTACTTCTTTCTTTTCTGCTTGGTAGCTTCTTTTGTTACGTTACGACTCCATCAATTCCTGTTTATTAATTAAACTTTTTCTTGATATGTTTCTCACTTTCTTTATAATTCTCTTTCATATTTTCTTCCTCTTCAATCCCTGATTTTTTAGAAACTTTTAACATGCCCTTCTTTCTTCTATTTCTTCTTTTTTTAATAAAAGAGAAGATCTGATTCACATTCTTATTTTTAAGTAAGGTCTATTATCTAACTATTGCATTATAAAACTGAAATTCGAATAATCTCTCTTTTAATACTTTTGACCCCCTTTTATTAATTACATTTCCTTTGTTAGTTTAAATGAATGATGAACTTAGTATTTCAATCTCACTAGTTTAAGTGCGAATAATTGCAACTATGAACTCAGAGAACTCCGCCATAGAGAAGGCGTCGGAATCGGTGAGACGAGGAGGGGGGGGGGGGGGGGGGGGGTAGGTCGGTTTTACTTCTGGGTGAAGTATGAATTAACCAAGATCATTATTAGAAGGAGGCTGTTTGAGAGGGTCTCATCACTTTTCATGTTCATTTTCTCCCTCTTCCTCTTTTCGCATTTCCCCCTTTTGGGCTTTTCATTGGAAGCACGTGCCCCCATACTCACAGTAGCCACGCCACTGACATGACTGTATGAACATATAGCACATGTATACACTTTTGTTCAGATTGCATCGAAAAGTGAAAATTTAAAAAAAAAATCATTCTATTACATAATAATATATTTGTACCATTTCCATACCCATTTCATACGTATTCCTCCCTCCTTTTTAAACATACATTTAAGGTTTACAGTTGGCACTTGACTGAAAACCAAAAAGATATCGACTTGAAAAGGAAAACAATACATATATGGCACTCACAAAGTATATTGACGTCTGCAGAGGAAAGATCTGTCCCTCACACTAATGCGTGAATCAAATATAGTAGGCGTAGGCCTACGGCCGCAATCCCTTGAGAGGGGAGGGGAGGGGTGAGGGGGTCACGCCCTTCCCCGGATATTACCTTTCTAGTCTTTAAAGGTACTATGTACCCATTTGCAGGCCAACAAATGAAAAAGTTAAATTCCAACTGCATTTGAAAGATAATACTAATTTAGAACTTCCCTAAAAAAGGTGGGGCTTGAAAATGTCTTCAAGTGGGAAAATAACGACTATTAGTTGTCAAATCGACTTTAGGGCTATAGAGCCCAAAAGTAATAGTCTTGATTTTCAGACAATTGTACCGAATGGTCATACGTTTTATGCTGCGCAAAGATTCAATCAGTTTAATCTTGGCCATCACAAGAAGTGGGTTATTGATGTACTGTAGACAAAATGCTCATGTACCCTTTACAACTTTTTCCATGTATGTTATTACCAAAGAAGAAAAAGGCCAGTCAGTGACTCAATAGTGTCAGACAGTGAAGTCTAGCAAGTAAACGGGTTTCCTTGCATAATTTGAATATGAGGACACTGCTAATGTTTAAATTTCACAGATAGGACATATATGACATATTCATAATTCCTGCAAAGTTCTACAGCATTTGAGGTTGGCTGCAAAAGGGACATAGTACCTTTAAAGAGCGAGCGAATCAAAGTTACACAAAATGACAGTGCACCTTCTAAAAATGTAAATTTGATTCTGTTTCTAAGATTAAATAACAATTACAACAACAAAAAATACGAATCTTCCCCTCGCTGTATGTTAGGTGCATGGCAGTTGACTGACTACGAGGTGAACATTTTGCCAGAATGAGTATTAGCAATTTGAACCTCCTCGGGCGGGGTGAACTATAAGGGGCCTTGGGAAACACATACTCCCATGAAATCACAAAATGCCCAACTTTTTGTTGTAAATAGTGAACTTTAGCTGACCTTTAACGTTTCCATGCTGTCGTGCTATATAGTGCAGCGTGTTTCTTTTCTTTTTTAAGTCACGGTACCATTTTAGGAATTGAACAGTTTCGCGTCACCCCAATCTTTAAGTCATGAGAGAAGATTTGTATTGCCATTATATTGTTAGGTGTACGGGCATATTGTCGGGTCGAGGGCGTCGCCTCTTACCCAAAGATTTATTACGAATTAAGATGTATTACGAGTTTCTAAGCGAGCAAAAAGGCTACTTTTATCAAAGGACAAAGCATCTTTATTAGGAAAAAAATAATATTTTGACACCAGTATGATAAGATATAAAGTTATATATATTCGGACTCTTCGATAACCGAACATAGGAATAGGCCTATTCAGTCATCCCGGTGGCAGGAATCATCCAGGTTTTTAACCGAACGCCTATAAAACATTGATTCATATCATGTTTAATGGTTACTATTTGATTCAGACGAATCTTTTCTGAATTTCAAAGACTGGTGATAGCCACGTGGGAGGTGTCTAATTCCTGAGTGAAAGTTACTTTGTATTGTATGAATCGATCAATATTCCTGCTCTCAAAGGTTACAGGACGCGGCCCATTTATTGATCTGGAAGCAGTGGAAAGCCACTTCAATAGTCCAAGTGAAGTGCCCGAAAATTCTACTTTGAGATAGGATAGTGTATATTGTAGTAATCAACATTTGGTATAATTTATCCTCCATCCCACCCCATCACATCCAACTTCTGTCGGCCGCCCCAAATCGGGAATGCCGTATTTTCTCGTGTAATCTCATTTTAATTAAATTGGTTGCTAAGATTTCGCATGAACTCAAGTTTGATGCCTTTGTATTTTACAACTGGCAGAGCTCAAAGCCCCACTGCACTACTTATAGCCAGGGGCGTCGCTAGACCTTTTTCAGTGTGGGGGGGGGGGGGTGTAGAGGCCAACGATTACCGACAAAAGTAGCCACCAATAACCGACAAAATTAAATTTCCAATATCTACAAAGTCAACCCTATACACCTGGGGCCGAAGGCTAAATTGTTTTTCCTATGGACTATCTATAGTACTTGCATATGCGCAAAATGGTCTTTCCTCGACGACATTAATATACGAATTATTTCTTGAATTTAGTCAGCATCATAGCTACATATTTTAATGCAGGCGCGGAGCTAGGATCTTATTTTAGGGAGGGGCGGTAGTGAGCAAGAGAATCACTTAAAAGCGCGCTCATAAGGGGGTGTGGGTGATGAGCCTCCTGCGCGAAGCGCGGAAGCTTAGACGTTTCCTTAAATTATTAGGAAAAGAAGACGATTAATTGTACCGTTTTCGACTGGTAATCCTAGGCTGAATGAAGTTTCCCCCCCCCCTCCCGCGCGAAGCGCGAAAGCTTTGACGTTTCATTAAATTATTATAAAAAAAAAGAAGACGATTTGCTGTACCATTCTCCACTGTTTATCCTTTTCTGAATTCAGTATTCCCCCCGCGCAAAGCGCGGAAGCTTAAGCAGACGATTCGGTGTACTGTTCTCGACTCTTAATCCTAATCTGAATGAAGCTTCCCCTCCCGCGCGAAGCGCGGAAGTTTTGACGTTTCATTAAATTGTTAGAGAAAGAAGACGATTCGTCGTACCGTTTTCGACTCTTAATAAGCCCTATTCATCTGAATTCAGTTTCCCCCTCTCGCGCGAAGCGCGAAAGCTTTGACATTTCCTCATATCATTAGAGAAAGAACACGATTCGTTGTACCGTTTTCGACTTTAAATAAGCCCTATTCATTTTGTCTGAATTCAGTTTCCCCCTCTCGCGCGAAGCGCGGAAGCTTCGACTTTTCCTTACATTATGAGAAAAAGCAGACGATTCGGTGTACTGTTCTCGACTCTTAATCCTAATCTGAATGAAGCTTCCCCCTCCCGCGCGAAGCGCGGAAGCTTTGGTTTTATTAAATTATTAGAGAACGAAGACGATTCGCGATCGTTGTCGACTCTTAATAAGCCCTATTCATCTGAATTCAGTTTCCCCCCTCGCGCGAAGCGCGGAAGCTTTGACGTTTCCTTAAATTATTAGAGAAAGAAGACGATTCGTCGTTCCGTTCTCGACTCGTCTAAATGAAGTTTCCCCTACCGCGCAAAGCGCGGA